AAAAAAAAAGGGAAAAAAAAAGAAAAAAAAAAAAAGAAGAAGAAGAAGAAAAAAGAAAAAACAAAGAAAAAAAAGAAAAGAAAGAAAAAAAAGCAAGCAATATGCTAAAGCTGGAAGCAAAGCACAGAGTCAGAGGAGAAGCATCTGATACCCATCTACAGTACAGCCAAAGTGTATCTTTTTTTTTAATTAAAAAAAATAAATCACCAAAAAAAAAAAAAAGAAGAAAAAAAGTGTATCGGTTATTGTTCCGTAGGGCAGGGGGCAAAAGCAGTCTGACTAGGCAGGCTGGATCATCTTCTTCTCTGTGGTACAAGTGTCGAAAAGTAGGCTGAGTTGTCGTAGAAATAATCTCTGTCGGAAGCTGCAGTCTTTTCCAGACGAGAAATGTCCATAGATGTCACTCTTGTCGTGCTGTTCTTAATTCCCAATCACAACCTAAGCTAGAGATGGGGGGGGGGGGGWAAAGGACCCACAAATCAGTCCATTCTGTACAAGGGATGCTCTTGCTGGACGCAATTTTTTTTTTGCAGCAGGTGCAGCTACCCACCAATGGAATGGTGCCATCATCTGCGGCTCTACTGTCCTGCTGGTGTTCTTTTTCTTTTCCAGCTGGTGCCCTTATCACCAGCAGCAGGAGTGAAGATTGCACCTCAAAAAAAAAAAGATTGGACCTCGAGGTGGTTCACGGAAAAAAAAAAAAAAAAAAAAAAAAAGGAACTGTACTCTACGTGCCTGCTTTTTTAAAGTTTTGTTAACTATTGTACAGGGCCACAGCGCAACCACCCTCGCCCCCTGTGTAATGAAGCAGAGATGCCCTTTCTTTTGCGGTCTTTGGAGTTTCCTTTTTGGTCCTTGGAGTTTCCTTTTTGGTCGTTAGAGCTTTCGAACGGTGTCCAGTTGCATGCCCACCACATCCATTCCTCACGAGGTCACCGCTGCTGATCAAATCTCTCTCAGGTCGTCCTTTTACTTGCCGCATCCTCCTCCTCTTGCCGCATCCTCCTCCTCTTCCTTGCACTTTTCGTCTATGATCATCTGATCTCTCAAGAATCGAACACGCGACCTCCCTCCTCCTGGGACTTGCACGCTCAACGAAAAGGGCTATTAAGCTGACTGAGGTGAACGCGAATCCCCAAGTTGGGTACTTAACCCGACACCCCAGCACGGATTTTCCCGCGTCCCGGCGTGTACCTAGTCACGCCCACAACACCCGCCCCTCAACTGACCCGACCACACACACACAGGCCTGTCGACGCAGCCACCAGTCAATTTGTCTCCTCTCCTCTCCTCTCCTCTCCGTCTTTCTTCTTCTTCTTCAGACTCTTCACCTACTAGCTCGGCGACGCCTGTGCTTCTGCAACGGTTACCTCGGGCGTCAACTTGGCAAGCGCGTCCAGCACTTCGTCCAATTGTGGAAGCCGCTTCGACTTTTCCCCCGTTGTTCGACCGTCGGATGATGGTTGTTCCGATGCGATGTATTTTTATTTTTATTTTTATGTCAATCAATGTGGAAAGACCAACACCACCAAACAAAGGGTTCGGGCTGTTAGGAATTCAACGAAACCGGAAATCGTAATCGTCCTTCTGTTTCTCTTTTTTTTTTTTTTCTTTTTTTTTTCCCCTTCCCCCCCCCCCCCCCCCCCCCCCCCCCCCCCCCCCCCCCCCCCCCCCCCCTCCTCTCCTTCTGTTTCTCTTTTTT